TGCGCAAAAGATCGATGTGCCCGGAAATATTTTTTAAGCTCGGAACAACCGTTCTGTAACCAGCCAACTCAGTAATCAATCAGGTAGCTTGGAGGGTCATCTGTGCAGAACATTTTTCAATATGGGTTCACATTCAGATATATGCCCTATATATAAGGTACCGCATTATTTTCGGGTTTATTTAAAGGTTTTAAACGAAGTCATTTCTATTTTGATAAATATTTTTCTTTAATAACATATTTTCAATATCAGGTATAGTTCCCACATTGAGGTCTGAACCCATTTTAGGCATTTTCATTGTCCGATGTCTATTTACCAACCGATCTGGTTGTAATTTAATATTCAGAGTGAAGGTCCGAGTTATAGTGGAAGGTCCGAGTTATAGTAGTTGTGATAACCTCCATACGGGCTCTTTTTTAGTACTTTCAGGGTCCAATCGAAGTGGCTATTACGTGGTATTTTTGGGTCCTTGGCGAGTATTAAACTTATCTCAAACGAATTTAAGTATTCTCCTCGCAAACGAAATACAAAGACCTCAGATTAGGCCATTTTTCCAACCAAAGAGGCTGTACTATGGCATTCATGGTTCTTGAAGGGTGATAAACATATGTTTTATAAAGGTCCATGATCTGACAATGCCTACATATGGAGATCCGGACCCATTTTAGATTGGATTTTGGTCGTGGGTTCATTTTCCAACCGGGTATTTCATGGTGTGTAAAGTTAAAAAAAATAATATTCAAATTTATATTTGTTTCCACAACTAAACAAAATGTGTTCATTATAGAACCAAGCTTCGATTTTTCGTCAAGAACAGTTCAGGATATTTTTGTATTGTATTTTTAAAAAATCGGTTGCTATTTCATTGTCCCTAGTTGTATTACAACTAGCCCGCAAACCTCTTTCTAAGAAACTTTGCATATATACTCGCACAGCCTGTCACAAACTGCTAGGCGACTACTGGTATTGCTGCTGTTTAAAGTTTTCAAAAAAAAAAAAAAAAACTGTAGAAAACTTTGCGACATTTAGTTGAAATCAAATGTCAAAAACAATTTCTAAAACGTTTTGCCTTTGGCAGCATGCGTTTGAGTTGCGTTATGCGGTAGTCAATGACAGTCAGCGAGTGAAACATGTACTTGAAAAAACTACAACAACTACTATTAGAAATGATGCAACTCTGGAAACAAGTTTTGAAAATTATTTAGGAATATCATATAGATGGTCAACATACTCTCAGTTAAAAAAAAAAAATAAAATCCACAAATCTTTTTTATTTACTTGAATTTTGTCAGCCTAAAAATCCACAAATCTGTAATTTTTTAACCTAAAATTTTTTTAAAATTCGTTGAAAATATCTGAAACACACATATTCTTGAAGAGGGGGTTTAAAAATGTTCGATGTTATATATTTTGTGATAACAAACTAGGCGATAAAAAGAAGCATCCTTCGCTATGAGCATTTACTTAATCGGGGTCTCGAATTCCTTTATAAGAGTGTCGGGGCATTTTGGCACTTTTACATGGTGGAATTTGAATTTTTTAACCGATTTTCTTTACAATCATATATTTTAAAAATATTTAATCATTATTTATTCGCGCCCTTGAGCATAGCTTATTTTTATGTCCAATTTTCTTGTTGTCTACAGGAAAAAAATCCTATGCCCCCTCAAAGAGCGTCCAAACAATAATTCCATCTTGGCAATGATGCATTGAACAGTTGATGGGTTACTGGTTTGCAGCTTCTGGTGCTGTTCATTTTTTTCCACATAAAATTTTGTTTACAACTTTTCAACAGTAGGAAATTTCAAAGTTGTTAAACATAAAAAATATGTAACTGACAATAGCTCAGTTGTGGGGATTTGGTTTTTTTTTCATTCGTTTTTTAAGAGATATTTTCTGACATGACCATAATGCTAAACGAAATTTACGATTTTCCTTTTTGAAACGTTGGTCATAAACATTAAATGCGCAAAAAAGAAAGAAACATTATTCTGTCTGTAGAGGAAGAATAAAACACGTAGAAAGATTTGCATTTCAAGATTTTGTATTTCAAAACAGAAATAAATAAAAATGTATACAATAAAATATAAAGCATGTTCCCGAGGACATTTAAATTTAAGATAAAAATAAAATATTTTGTAAATATATATTTTAATTGGGAGAAAAATTATATGAACATTTATATTGGGTTTCAATCAATAAGTTATATCCAGAAATCTAGGTTGGAAAATTCCTTGAAAAATGTAAAGGAGTTATTTAGAATAATTTTAAAGGAGTAAAGCAAAAACTTGATTTTTTTCTTTCAAAATTTCTTAAAACTTTCTAAATTATAAATTGAATGAAGGGTACCAAATACAGCTATTGTTACAGAGGTCGTGCTCAAAGTTGACTTAAATGAAATATTGGATAGGGGAATTAGGTTGTAACTGACAGAATAACTGCTTGGTAAAGACTAAAATAATGAAATGTAGACAAAACCATGGAGCGGAAGGATTCTAATATCCCTTTTATATTATTATAAATAAAAAACTTCCTTAGCGTATTAAGCTTGTCTGTTGTAGTGTTAGAAATTCTTAGACTAAAGTGTACATTCTGCTTTTGTACTTGAAGTACTAATTAACGTTCCCAAGCCTGTTTTTTTATTTTAAACTCCTAATTCATAATGTCCTTAAAATATAACTAATGACCGAGTGATCATTATTCCCACCCCGTCATATTTTATTGAAAAGTTGATTTAAAAAATGTCATCCGAAAATATTGCTCTCAGACAAGTAGAAACAATTCTGAACTTTAAAAATAAATTCCTTAATTTTTTTAAGGTAAATATATTTTTTATCATAAAAAGTATTATTTTATAATTTTTTGAAATACAATTTTTATTAATATTAAAATTTTACGGATGTTTTTTACACCAATAATAATAATATAATTTTATTTAATTTCCATATTCTATTTTCGTTTCAGATGCAGCTAACTTCACTCTATTGTTACATACTATTTTAATACTAATTATTACAACTGAGAAAATTCAGCCGATTCAGTTCAACACTCTCCGAGCTCCATAGAATATAAATTGAAACATGTAGTGTTCACATACACCACAAGTTTCAATGTAGTAGGCCATTTTTCTCGAAATAACTTCTGATGAAATTAAAACTGTCAACCGAAAATTATTCTTCAGGACGTTCAGGGGTTTCTGAAGTTTTAAATAAAATGTATTAATATTCGGGTGACAGAAATAAATGATTTTCAATTCGGTGGTTATTTTTCAACAATAATAATGTTATTTCATTTAGATTCCTTATTCTATTTTTCGTTTTAGCTGCAGCTAACTTCACTCTATTGTTACATACTATTTTAATACTAATTATTACAACTGAGAAAATTCAGCCCATTCGGTTCAACACTGTCTGAGCTCCATAGAAAATATATTGAAATTTGTGTGGTGTATGTGAAAGGAGTTTCTGATATTTTATATCAATTTTCAAATAAATTCTGACGAAATTAAAACGTTTTCTTATCTCCCAACCGAAAATTATTTTTCAGTACATTTATTAACATTTTTTAAATTTATAATTTTTTTCGGATTAACGGATTTTGAACCGATAGACCTAATGCTATGTTCAAGTTGATACATTTCAACAGTGATTAATAAAGATTGATCGTTTTCTATTTTATCTTTGGTATTCAGACAAATCGAAACAAACTCTGAAGAAAGTCTGAACCCTATATATGGAATTTTCTCTAACTTGTAAAAACAGCTTGTGCACATTTTAAATAATTTTTTTTTAAATAAATGGAACTATTCAAGCCTATTCAATGCTAATGGCATTTTTCGGGTCAATTAAGAACACTTCTTCAAAACTGTTTAGTATTTTCTGACTAAAGTTGTGCTTGTACTCAAAATTTCTGAATTTGATACAGCATACTAAGTCTAAATTTTGTACGATTATTCTGATTATTTCAAAATTATATATTGTGTTTTGTTGGTCCTACTTCCTATCCCAAATCCGTCGAACTATGCTAAAGTGGTCGAATTAATAATCCAATTTAATATTTTTATTTAATTTGAAATATGTCAAAAAATTATTCCTAATCCTCTGTTGGTGCTAATGCTATGTGGTCGCATTAATGCGTCCAAAAATTATTACAAATCTCCTATTGGTGCTAAATTATTAACCCCAACTGCAATCTATTTACCCCAAACTAACGTAAACCCAACAAACTTTATTTTTGCAAACAATTCAAAACATCGTCAGCAAAACTTTATGAAAAAGCCATTGTCCGCATTTATTGCCAACAGCAAAGCCTCAGTGCCTCTGAAGAGGACTTTGTTTTTTGAAAGAAGCCCCATCAATAAAACACAGCAACAACAAAAACAATTGTTTAAATGTCAAGTTCAAAAGTTTTGAACAGTTAAACAAAAAAAGTCCAGTTTTCATTTTGAGAAAAAATAAGGCATCAAAGAGTTCAATACCAGAACTAAGGAAAAAACTAAATAAAAATTCAGAAAAAAAATATTTAAGATGTTCAAAAGTGGAATATTTAAGAGATTTGGCTTAAACACTTAATGAAGATTGATTCACAAGGACTTGAGATAGGACCTTTATATCCTCGGCATTTTTTAAATATTTAGTTTGAAGAAAAGTCTTTGTGTAGATCTGCATTTAATTAATTTTTATTCGCATATTTTGCTATTCAAAAAAGAAACTTTCCAAAAATAGATAATTATGATGTTTGTCTTTGGATTTGTCGGAAATTATTTTTTACAATTTTTGCGACATGTAATTTTTTAAAATTTTATTTTGAACCAAATTTTTAATTTTTACAATCCTTCGAAATATTTTCCCATTGAAGATATCCGTCAGCTAGTTTGTGCTTTTTTAAGAGTTTAGAATTTTTTCTCCTTAAGAGAGCTTATAATGCTTCTAAGATCATGTTATATGATGAGCCCACCGCTAAACATAACACCTACTCTACTGTTTATAGCTCCGACTTACCTATATTGTGCTGATTATTGTGTAAAACTGAACCGAACGCCATTAGATCCTTGACCGGCGGTGCTCTCGTACTGAGGGCGGCGAAGCCGTCGCCCAAAAATGACGCCAACGCGACAGCCCTAAGGGGCGCTTTTGATACTTCGGTAAGAATTTTGTGATTGTCGAGAATGGCGGGCGCTTGAAAAATTCCTGGGTGTGGGGCGGCAGGGTATCCAACAGGAAGGGCAACTATAACTATTTTATTTTTTCAATGGCAGTTGAGGATTTCACTTCTGACACTTCACTTCGGTATAATTTATTTTCTATTTTTATGCAATTTTTTGAAGGTCACCACGCAACATTAATTTTTAGGTTTTTGTTTTAGAAATTTTTCCAAAAAAAAAAAAATTTAAATTAGAGAAATCCAACAGGTTGTTTGCCAAAAATTCAATTTTGTTGTTTAATAATAACGACGGCACGAGATTTTTTGTTTTTTCAAAACACCATGCAGAGCAAAAAATTTGAAACTTTTTTGACGTTAATTAGCGCGCGCAAAATTTTTGTTTTTAATTTTTTTTTAACTTTCAGTAGCAAGCGTCAGAAGTTGCAACTTGTGGGGGTTAGCAGCAGTGGGTTGCATGGATGGGTTGGTATGGTCTAAAACTGAACCAGGGGGGCCAGCAGCAGCGGCAACGTTCGTTGCGTATTTAATGCATAGAGAGCGAGCAAAATACGAGTATAATTTAATTGTTGGCTCGTTGTTGCGTTTTGTTGCTATTGCTGTTGTTGTTGTTGTTGGTTACTCCACGATGTGATGGTTTAAATGGGGTCTTATGCTTTCATGAAAGGATTAATGACTTAATTTCTTATATGATCCACAGACAAAAGCCGGTTGGTCTAAACGCAAACACACACATACACGCACACATAAATATGACGAAAGATATAAAGTACTCGCCAAAGCACCTACGGCAATTTTTTAACACTTGTGATAATAATAAAAGGCAGACAGACAATTTGGCGGTATTATTTTTTGCACTTTCACTTATTTTCGTTAGTCAGTCACACATGGGGGACAGACAAGATGTACACACACGAACAAGGTGAGGGATTTTTGGGGAGGTCACTTTTGATAGGAAATAATAATTTTTTATATGATTCCTTTAATCCACTATATTTTTTTCTTAGAGCGCCATTGGTAGTAATCCTTTAAAGCCTCCGTCGTATCCTTTAATATTTGTTTAAATTCCAAAATAATTTGTTAATCCGTTCGTTCCCTTTTTTGTGAATTGATATCGCAAATTCATTTAGTTATTTATTTTAATTCATTTCCATTCATTCACGTAAAATTTTCGTTTTGATTTCACACACAAACAAATTGAGATTGCGCTGTGTTTCCGCTACGCACTTCAAATAACCACGTAAACACTGAGCGAACGTCAAACGAAAACTAAACATGCCAGGCTTGATTTCAATGCACACAGAGATGGATGCCTTAAGCAACAACGGCACACACACAGCAAATACAACAAGAACATTACCAATAATAATAACAACAACAACACTCATGTGATACAGCAGCAGAGCAGCTGTGTAGTAGTGGTGGTACAAGAAGGGTGATGGCACAAGTCTCTCTCAACACACAGCAGGTATAACAAAGCAACCGGTTTCCACACACCAACAACAACACTGCTACAATGGACTCTCATTCAAAAACGGAGAGCAGAGAAACACCCATCACAAGTACAACCTCTCAATTAACGGAGAGTCATATTGCAATGCCTTGCTTGCTTGCCTGCCTTTTGTCTTGGCACAACACAGCACAACAGGAACAAAAACAAAACAGAGAGCCACACATCATTTCCCCTTAAAATTGTGCTCACAGAGAGACTCTCACAACAAAACTAAACCAGTCATTTGCCTTTGTTAAACAAAGACAACCCTATTATCTTCTGTTTTTCTCCCTCTCTCTCGCTCTTTGGCATTACTCTCCTTCATCCAAAAAATCGCAATGGAGTCTGTTGATGACATTTTCAATTCAAAAAGTTGACTTGTCTCATATGTCGCTACGGTTACATCTGCCCAAGACGGAGTCATCATTTCTGTGGTTAGAGGGCGTTGCTAAGCAACTCTGGCATCAGCCATCGTTGTCGTCATCATTGGCAGCAGCGGAAGGCAACTTGTTTTACAGGGCGACAGCAAGTTGTTGTTTTTTTATTCCTCAACAATGTTTTGGTTTTTTTTTCTTGTTGTGCTCCCCAAACTCTCAGTTCTCATTTGAACAGCAGAGAGACACTTAACATAGCAAGATAGTGTGTGTGTGTGTTCCACAAAACAGCAACAACTGTGCCCTCTCGTCGTTCACAAAGAAAAAAGATGGTGCGAAATTTGGTTTGTTTCATTGCAAAAGGAAGAACCAATGGCATTTCAAAAGTGACATTTTGCTCGCTGGCTGTGTTAGAGTCTCATTTTCGTTTCAAGAAGGCATGTTGAAGAAGAAGAAGAAATACTCTTACACATTGTGGGGCTCCCCCACCCCCAAACCATTCAATACAATGTTTGTGTGTTTAACCATTGGATTGGTTTGAATGTTTCGTTCCTACTTTAAGCTTTTGCCGTGGTGGTAAATAAGTGAAGGTGTGTTTTTGTGTGCCTCAACGTGTATTGTTGTTTTTGTTTGTTGCTGGTTGTCATTGCTGCTGTTGTTGTTCTTATACTTGGTTTATTTATTGTTGCTACTCCATGAACTTTTTTGCTTCTTTTTTCCCGTCCGTCTTCATATTTGTTGTTGTTGTTGTGCTTTACTTGTCCATGCCTCGTTGGCTCGCTTGCGGTTGTGTGTATGTGTGTAAGAGTGTGTTTCTCTGTGTCTGTCTGTTTGTTTGTGTTCATGTGCTTTTCCAAGGTAAAATGTCAAATACTTTCTGTTGTCTGTCATTTGTGTTCGGCTCGGTTCAAGTGCAAAACATGAAGTTTTGCTTTGGCTTTAACTTAAAGTGTTGATGGTTTTTGTTTGGTTTTGTGTATTATTGTTGTTGTTCTTGTTGCTGGCCCCAAATGTGATTCCTTTGCCTTTTTTCTCCATAGGGAATAGGAATAACAGGGAATAGGGTTAACTATTTCGCAATAACAGGGAAATTTATGGGGATTTTTTTGGGAAAAAGAAATATGGGAATGAATCAATTACTAAAAATGGAGGTTTGTTAAAATAAAATATTTTTCTACACTGGAATCCTGTATGGGATATGGAACAAATGCAGAAAATTCAACCAAAATTTATAGTTCTCCTGAATATTTTGTAATGTGTAAATAAATGAAAATGACGTTAAGTTCGACCAAACCAGGTATTTTATCGCCTTCAACAGGAGGTTAGCATTCATTATACCTAATTTAGATCCTGACGCTTCATGACCCTATATGGTAGATGGTTTGGGACCTTCTAAATATTCTTTTAAAATTCGGGTCAAGTGCTCAGATGATAAAGAAATAATAATCCATACAAATCAAAATGGCTCTTTGCTTGTGTGGCAAATAGCGACGCCTTAATGAAGTCGGACTCCGTCTAAATAAGTCCAACCATACAAAACATTATCTGTCGATGATTAACGTAACTATGGATCCAATCGAGAAGTCAATTTCAATAACCGCACCAAACAGTCACGGAGTACTCATTTCCAGCCAGGTGGAAATGGAGCCTTTATTTATCAGTCCCGATGATTTTTCGATGTGTTTTTAAGGAATAAATGAATTGAAAGGCCCCGTAAGGACACGACGTAGTTCATGATCGGCCGTTGAGACTATTTAAAAAATGTGCAAGCCTATCAACATTTTTTGTTGAAAAAACAATAATAATAAAAATCCTTGTAAAAAGTGCGGTTCAGATATAGATATAGCTCCCATATATATTTTCGTCCGATTTGGCATGGCGTACTGACTTCAGTCTAGAATGATGTGTGTAAAATTTCATGAAAATCGGTTCAGATTTAGATATAGATCCCATATATATTTTCATCCGATTTAATGTAAATGGTTCACCAAAGTCCCTATATATATTTCGATTTCCTCAAAATCGAAATATATATAGGGACTAGAATGAGGTGTGTAAAATTTCTTGAAAATCGTTTCAGATTTAAATATAGCTCCCATATATATTTTCGACCGATTTGGATGAAATTTGGCATAGCGTATTAAATTAAGTCTAGAATGAAGAGTGTTAAGTTTCGTGATAATCGGTTTAGATTTAGATATAGCTCCCATAAATTTTCCCCTGATTTAATTTTAATTTGAACGAAATTAGTGTAACATAACAACTCTCAAGTTTTGCTGAAATCAGTTCGGATTTAAATTTAGTCCCCATATAAATTTTATTCCGATTTTAAATAAATGGTGCACCAAAGACTCAAAGTTAGGTAGATTGAGACAAACTTTTGCACAACGTACTGAAAATAGTATAGCCAAACGTGTGTCAAGTTTTGTTGGAATCCATCCAGATTTAGAGGTAGCTCCCATATAGTTTCATCCGATTTTAAGTAGTACCCATGGACCCAAAATATGTTCATTAGAAACAAAACGTGCATAAATTAGTCTAACCTAACCTTTGACAAGTTTCGTTGAAATCCGTTCAGATTTGAATATAGCTTCCATATCTATTTTCATCCGATTTTAAGTAAATGGTGCACCAAACTCTTTTATGTTTTTCAGAATAGAATGACGTAATTGCTTGTAGAAGTACTTTTATATTTATGGCCGACTTCGTGTTAATTGAGCTCCAAATATCCGATTGATGTTTGCTTTAAATCGATTTATATAATTTTGTCCCATTGTAAAAAATGAATGACATTTCACATTTAGATAAAGGTCACATATTAGTTCATCCAATTTCATGTTAATGGCCATTCTGTTAGGATGCATATTTTTAATATAAACTTAGTGGTGTAGGTTATCATGTAGTCGGCCCCACGCCTTCAAAAAGTCCTTTAAAATATTTTTAAAAATCCATTCTAAGGTTTTTAAAAAATCTTGTGAAATGCCTTTAAACCAAATTTTTTTAAATCCACGCCTCCAAAAAGTCCTTTAAGATATTTAAAAAAAAAATCCATTCTAAGGTTTTTAAAAAATCCTGCGAAATGCCTTTAAAAATATATTTAAAAAATCCACGCCTTTCGAAAAGTCTTTAAAAAAATATTTTGAAAAATCTATTCCTTTTCTTTCCTAAAATATTATCTTAAATCCAAGCCTAGGCTACGGTATGTGCTTTCAAAATTAGATTTAAAAATATGTTTGCAATCTTGTCCCCATAAATTCCTTTTTTTAGAGATACATGGCATCCCTTTTCCTAGAACTCTGTAACAATACACCTTATTTTTCTTTTTCTCTGTTTCTTTTTTTATTTCGCTGGCTCTCTGGTTATTTCTTAGGTGACAACCGAGAAGCAAGCCAAGAAAAAAATCCGCCCCTTTGGCAATTTTTCGCGGAGACTTTAATAACAAATGGTGCAGGTCGGTTGGACTTATTTTTTCATTTTTTTCGATTTGTCTTCTTCTCCACACCGCGTGTTTCCCTTGGTGTTGAATTGTTGTTATCCTTGTGCCTCGTTCTTGTTACCTATCTGTTTGTAATACTACTAGACTTTCAAGTTGTCAAGTTGTGGTATGGCGGAATGGCTTGTGGGTGGGGTTGGGTTGTGTTAGTTCCCCCAGTTCGTGCTCTACATGACACGGTAATAAGCCAAAGATCAAAACCTTAAAGTATGGCCAAAAAATATGAATATAACAGCAGCCGACGATGAGAGTTTTCAAGTTTTTTTGTTTTGTTAGAAAAAAACAAAGAATTCAGAGAAAAAATATGGGAATGTTCCCAAGGTAGAAGAACATATGAAGGCAAGGCGAAAAAAGCGAGAGTTTGTCCCCCGAACCAATAGTTTTGTTGGCTGCCTGCTTGGTGGGTGGGGTGTTATTTGGCTGTATGAGGAGAGTCTGTCTAAAAATGGCTGTTGCCTTTGCAGTCAGCCAGCCAACTTGTGTGCCATGTTGTGTGTTTTTGTTGTGTAGGTGAGTGGGTGGGTGGTTATGTTTGTTGGCAGAATGAGTTCGATGTCAGCTGAGCGAGGTGGGTGGATAGGTTGGTTGGTGTGAATATTTGTGTGCCGTTTACTTGTTGTTATCCCATCCGATTCATCCATCCAACCATCCACCATTCATTCAAACACAGTTGTGCGGTGGCACACACAGCAACGTTCACTCACTCAGCCAGTCACTCACTTACTCGCTCGTGTTTTGGCGTTGTCAGTTGTATTTGTCTCTTGTCTCGGCCCGGCTCGGTTTGGCTGCCTGCCTTTTGCCATGAATTTTCTTTGCTTCGCTCATTCCATAACATTTTGACACACAAAATATTGCACATCAGAGTGTTAAGCTGTGAAGTATGCTGTTGTTGGTGGTGGCGGTAGAACTTTTGTTGTACTTTGGTTTATTTTTTTTGCTGCTGCTGTTGTTGTTTCGTGCCATTCAGTTCTGGTCTGTACCCAGGGTACTGAGTACTTGATGTCGAGATGTCGTTGATATTTTTTTTTTTGTTCAACTCAACTTTATTTGCTCTTGGTGACACATACACAACACACACTCACATGTATGCCTATGGAAAGCTTGGTGTATGAGTGTGTGTGTGCAGGTTTGTTGGTATTATAATCTACATGATGTTCCTTCAATCTCTGAGTGTGTTGTTGCTGTTGAATGTCCTTTAACCAGCCATTCCCTCAACCAAACCAGGCAGCCATTCAGCCAACCAAACAAACAGATAGACAGACAAGTACAACGATTTGTTGCTTTAGTTTGGTTATGTCTTCAACTTTTTTTATAGTTCGGTGTATCCACCAGTTATTTGCTGAGCACACACAAAAATAAACGTTAGAACTAACAAAAGAAAAGGAAAAAGTTTTTTTTTTCGGAAAAAATAATACAACTGAGAAGTAAAAAAAAAATAACAAATATCACAGCAACAACAATGCCATGAAAAAAAACTTCCGTTCCGTTTATGTTTACGTCAAATTAAAGGACATCACATTTATTACGTTACACAAAACGTAACTTGATGTTCGTTGGTGCAATTGTGGCACGCACGTCAGGACTCATGCCTTTAGTTTGGGTTTAGGGGTGACAGATAACAAGACCTCCCTCCATAGTGTCATTTCACAAAGCTATTTGGAATTGGCTCTAGTTTTTTTTTCGTTTGGCCAACCTGATGACCATCACATCTCACGTTGTCAGTTGGACATACGTTCTGATTGACTCCTTTGTAAGTTTTGGTGATGCTGTGATTACAAAGTGCATTTGGTCACAGTGATACATTCACATGTCCTTGTTTTCCCAAATAAAAATAATAATGGAGGATGTGTTTCATATTGGATTGTAGGATGAACACTTCATTGCTTAACATGGTTAGTAGTTGAAGCGAAAATATTCTTTAAAAATCCACGCTTAAGGACCTAAAAGACCTCTGAAAAATATTCTTTAAAAATCCACGCTTAAGGACCTAAAAGAAAAAAAAATTTTAAAAAATCTTCCTCGGAAAAAATATTCTTTAAAAATCCACCTTGAAAAAATATTGTTTCCACGCTTAAGGCTTTAAAAGACCTCTAAAAATGATTCTTTAAAAATCCACGCCTAGAGTTATGTTTGGGCTTGAAAAATTCTTATTTAAAAATCCACGCCTAGAGTTATGTTTGGGCTTGAAAAATTCTTCTTTAAAAATCCACGCCTAGAGTTATGTTTGGGCTTGAAAAATTCTTCTTTAAAAATCCACGCCTAGAGTTATGTTTGGGCTTGAAAAATTCTTCTTTAAAAATCCACGCCTAGAGTTATGTTTGGGCTTGAAAAATTCTTCTTTAAAAATCCACGCCTAGAGTTATGTTTGGGCTTGAAAAATTCTTCTTTAAAAATCCACGCCTAGAGTTATGTTTGGGCTTGAAAAATTCTTCTTTAAAAATCCACGCCTAGAGTTATGTTTGGGCTTGAAAAATTCTTCTTTAAAAATCCACGCCGAGAGTTATGTTTGGAAAACTCTTCTTTAAAAATCCACGCCTAGAGTTATGTTTGGGCTATAAAAATTAGTCTTTAAAAATCCACGCCTAGAGGTCTGTTTGGGCTTGAAAATTTATTCTTTAAAAATCCACGCCTAGAGTTATGTTTGGGCTTGAAAAATTCTTCTTTAAAAATCCACGCCTAGAGTTATGTTTGGGCTTGAAAAATTCTTCTTTAAAAATCCACGCCTAGAGTTATGTTTGGGCTTGAAAAATTCTTCTTTAAAAATCCACGCCTAGAGTTATGTTTGGTGGACTTTTAAGTCTTTAAAAATCCACACTTACAGGTTTCTTTAGGCTTTAAACATTATTATTTAAAAATCTTTGCATAGTCTACTCTTAAAGTTGACTTCTTTTAAATTATTTAAAAGAAATCTTAAAGCTCTTCGACAAGACACACAATTCTGCGTAGCACAAATATTTGCACATTAACGGCAATACCAATCCCTTGTAAAATGGGATAACTTACTTATGCAAACATATTCATGAGGATAAGGAATATTATTAGGACAATTGTAAGTAGTCCGTTCTCCAATTTGAAAATTATTCTAAAATCTGTACATAACCACTTTTGCAAAACACCTACCAGGAAATGGTTATTTGTTAAAGACGTTAAATGAAGTGCATATCAGTTGGCGCAAAAAGTGAACCATGTTGCCGAAGTACGTGAATCTATGTGAATTGCTTTTCAGTTGCCTTACGCAAATTCACGTGAATGTGTGAGTGCGTGCGTTTGTATATCTTCCTGTACAGCTACTGAACTCAGCTACGTTCTGCCATTGTGATAAATTATTTTTTTCCTGCGATCCCCAAGTAGAACAAGTGTACATATGTGTACATGTGTGTGTGTGTGATTTCTCACACACATTTGCAACCTGACTTGAAGGAGTAACAAATTCAAGGCATTTATGAGTCTTTTGTTTTTTTTTTTAATTTTTTTTTCGTTCATTCTGAACAGCTTCCTGCCCGCCTTCTAATTGCAAAACAAGCGTATTCGGCGGTATCATCATGATCATCATCAGCATCATCGGTTCCAGCTTCATTCTTTAGTTTCGGTAGTGACTGCAATGATGTTTTTTATTAGTTTTAGTTGCTGTTGTTCTTATTCTTTACCGGTTGTCTTCTGGTTTTATGTTCTCCATTTTTTTAGTACTTTGCGTTTACTTTTAAGTTTTTTTGTTTTATGATGAGGCCAAGTTGCAATCTCATACTGCCATCCATTCCATCTCCCTACCCTGCCTGGTGCGTTCAATTCTGGGCATACGCACTTGCTGCCGATGCAACTGCTTCTTGAGTCCTTGGTGGATACTTCTTAATATTTTTTTTCTCATATTTTTCTTTTTTGCTGACGTATTTATCTTTCCTTTCTTACCTGTCCATCATTTGTTGAAAGTTATTTTATTTGGTAGTCATTTACTTAGTCATGCCAACCAGCCAGCCAGCCATAGCCATCCATGTTTGATGTGCAACTACTATTCGTTCGCTAGGTCATTCATCCACCTATCCATTCAACCATCCGTCTATCTATTTGCGCCTCCTTTGTTATGGGTTCATCCTTCGGCATTTTTACAGCCTTCTCTCCTTGAGTCCGGTGAAGTGTTTATGTCCGACAGTACAACAATTTAACGGTTATGATTTATTGTGTTTTTTGTTGTAGCTTGAACAGCGATTGTTGCTTATATCCGCTGATAAATTCAGAAAACACAGTATGGACATGGAATATTTGTTCAATGAAACTAGCTTCTGTTCTGGATCATAAAAGATATATGCACCATAAAATTTTTGAAGCCCAAACTGAACTCTAGGCGTACATTTTTAAAGACTAATTTTTGAAGCCAAACACAACTCTAGGCGTGGGGTTTTAAAGACTAATTTTTAAAGCCCAAACAGTCTCTAGGTGTGGATTTTTAAAGACTAATTTTTGGAAGCCCAAACAGTTCTATAGGCTTGGATTTTTAAAGACTGATTTTTAAAGCCCAAACAGACTTCTAGGCGTGGATTTTTAAGACTCATTTTTAAAACCCAAAAATACCTCTAGGCGTGGATTTTTAAAGACTAATTTTTGAAACCCAAACACAACTCTAGACGTTGATTTGTAAAGACTTATTCTTAAAGCCTAAACAGACCTCTAGGCGTAGATTTTTAAAGACTAATTTTTGAAGTTCAAACACAGCTCTAGGCGTGGATTTTTAAGGACAAATTTTTGAAGTCCAAACACAACTCTAGGCGTGGATTTTTAAAGCCAAACAAACCTCTAGGCGTGGATTTTTAAAGACTGATTTTTTTAAGCCCAAACAAACATCTAGGCGTGGATTTTTAAAGACTAATTTTTGAAGTCCAAACACAGCTCTAGGCGTGGATTTTTAAAGACTAATTTTTCAAATTCGTGGATTTTTAAAGACTAATTTTTGAAATTCAAACACAGTTCTAGGCGTGGATTTTTAAAGACTAATTTTTGAAGTTCAAACACAGCTCTAGGCGTGGATTTTTAAGGACAAATTTTTGAAGTCCAAACACAGCTCTAGGCGTGGATTTTTAAAGCCAAACAAACCACTAGGCGTGGATTTTTAAAGACTGATTTTTTTAAGCCCAAACAAACATCTAGGCGTGGATTTTTAAAGACTAATTTTTTAAGTCCAAACACAGCGTTGATTTTTAAAGACTAATTTTTGAAGTCCAAACACAGCGTGGATTTTTAAAGACTAATTTTTGAAGTCCAAACACAGCGTGGATTTTTAAAGACTAATTTTTGAAGTCCAAACACAGCTCTAGGCGTGGATTTTTAAAGACTAATTTTTGAAGTCCAAACACAGCGTGGATTTTTAAAGACTAATTTTTGAAGTCCAAACACAGCTCTAGGCGTGGATTTTTAAAGCCAAACAAACCTCTAGGCGTGGATTTTTAAAGACTGATTTTTTTAAGCCCAAACAAACATCTAGGCGTGGATTTTTAAAGACTAATTTTTGAAGTCCAAACACAGCGTGGATTTTTAAAGACTAATTTTTGAAGTCCAAACACAGCTCTAGGCGTGGATTTTTAAAGACTAATTTTTGAAGTTCAAACACAGTTCTAGGCGTGGATTTTTAAAGACTAATTTTTGAAGTCCAAACACAGCTCTAGGCGTGGATTTTTAAAGACTAATTTTTGAAGTCCAAACACAGCGTGGATTTTTAAAGACTAATTTTTGAAGTCCAAACACAGCGTGGATTTTTAAAGACTAATTTTTGAAGTCCAAACACAGCTCTAGGCGTGGATTTTTAAAGACTAATTTTTGAAGTCCAAACACAGCTCTAGGCGTGGA